ATGTGTATCACTGCGTGACATTAACTTCTCTTTTATATGGTTGTGAGGCTTTTATATGTTCTTCTAACTTTTCTTCTAAGGGCTATTTTGTGTAATGTTCATGGTTCTAAGACTAGTCTCAGTGAAAGTTTCATATGAGTTTCATTTGTGTTTAATAGGTGTTGGTGTTTCGAGTTACCACCAACAAGTAAATTTCTAATATTGTGCATCTGGCTCGGATGGTGTGCTCAGAGGATACGAGGTTTATACTGGTTTCGGCAGAATGTCCCTACATCCAGTTCATCGCCGCTGCTCATGTTACTAGCACTGAAAGTTTATAGTAGGGGTTACAAACGGACGAGAGAGGGAAATGATCCTAGGTCTTTGATGGAAGAAGTGAACGGGTGCCGAGAGCTCGGTTGTTGCTCAGCCGTGTGCTTGTGTCGTGTTCTGATCGGTTCGAGGTTCGATAGATTCGTGATGGTTCGATCGGGTCTAGCCTGAATCGATCTCCTTCATGGGGCTCCCTGCTTTCCCTTTTATAGGCCAAGGGAAAGCACGGGTTACAGCGGAGGAAAGAAGAAGAACGAGAGAGAGAGAGTTCTTCAGGATCATCGGGTCCTTCTTATCCTTCATGGGGTCTCGCCGACCCTGTAGATGTCAACAGGGTCAGCTCCACGTCGCGGCCCTATCTGTCACCGGCGCCATGCGCAGGCGTCGTCTGTCGGTCATGGCGCTCCACTCCGTCCTAACGCTCCACTCCGGCGCAGCAGGCCGAGAGCTCGCTGTCCCGATGATGTGAGCTCGACGCCAGCTAGCGCACGCCCTCAGAGCGACCCGATAAGGACGTGTTGGTCCACCAAGTGCCGTAAGTCCTATGTCAGCGGGTCACACAAGTCGATCGGACGGCTTGGCCGCTGCCGAGAGATGGGTAAGGGGCAGTAGGATGCCCCATGCGGGTTATGCCGACTCCGTCACGAATGACGGACCCAGAGTCCACTCGAACATATCCGGTAAGAGCTCCTCGAACCCATCACTCGTGCTATCGAGGTAAGTCCTGTGCCAGTAGGTCACCCAAGTCGATCGGACGGTTCGGGCGCTGCCGAGATGGGTCATCCTTAATTTATGCACGTTTTCTTTTATTAATTTCGCTATCGAGCCCCCGACCCCAGCAACGGCAAGGGGTCGGGCCTCACACAGGGTTTGCCAAGAGGGTCTATTCGGTAGACATTCTCTATGGCTGACCCTTTATCACGTTAAAAAAACTAAAGGCAAGGTGTGCAGAAACAAACTCTAAGTAAAATTAGTCGTACTGTAAGAAACCTACGCCCCAGCGGCTACGGCATTTTTCCTCACCAGCGTGATCAGAGTTTTTGCCCCCGCACCCCGAGCTTTAGCCTCCGCCTTTCCAGGAAGGGTGTGGAGGGGCCCACCTGCGGAATCTCCATCGAGGAGAGGCCATCAGCTCGCCCAGGTTGATCGGATGGCTCGGGCCGCTGCTGAGAGATGGGTAGGGAGCAGTAGGATGCCCCACGCGGGTTAGGCCGACTCCTTCATGCGGGTTACATCGGGGCATGTCGGTCTCCTCCATGGTGTCAGAGCTTTGACCCAGGGCCATACACTTGGACCTAGAGTGGTTGGCGGTGGCATGGGTCTCCGTCGGGCGAGACGGAGTCCGCGGCCTCGGGATCGGGCGAGGCGGAGCCTTCCCCCAGAGGCCGAGCAAGGTAGAGCCCGCAGCCTCGAGGTCAGGCGAGGCGGAGCCCACGGCCTTGGGGTCGGGCGAGGTGGAGCCCACGGCCTTGGAGTCCAGCGAGGTGGAGCCCGCGGCCTCGGGGTCAGGCGAGGCAAAGTCTTCCCCCAGAGGCCGGGCGTGGCGGAGCCCGCGGTCTCGGTGTCGGGCGAGGCGAAGCCCACCCCCAGAGGTCGGGCGTGGCGGAGCCCGCGGCCTCGGGGTCAGGCGAGGCGAGCCCGCCCCCAGAGGCTCCCCAGAGGTTGGACGAGGCGGAGCCCGCGCACTGGGGTCGGTTGGAGCCGTAGTCGCGCTATTGACTGTTCGGATGAATTAATGTTGATGACCATTAACCTCTTATCTTCGGGTAACCTTGTATTGGTCCCCAACAATAGGCTTTCACATAAACATTTTTGATGACATGGAAACGTTTTTAAGAAGAGAATGAAGAAATGAGAACTTTTTGGCACGATTACCAACTCTATATGGTCATGAAATTAAATGTCTCTAAACTATAGGATAAAACTTTCTATTGAGAGTGAATATTTCATCTAAGTTTTATTTTATTATATATATATATATATATATATATATATATATATATATATATATATATATATATATATATATATATATATATATATATATATATGACATGATAGTGTTGAAAATAAGGCTACGAAACACTCCACTGAGATCAGTCACAGTGGTGGATTTTATTTCACGGTTTCCAAGCATGCCACGTTGGCTAATTAATTTCTCTCCAATCCGGACAAACAAATCACACGAATTTGGGCCCACACGATCTATTCACAGGATAAGCTATCACTCAAGGTAAGGTACAACCGTACAAGAGACGAAGACAGATATCAGAACACTAGCATGTTCAGATCAAGATCGAAGAGAGAACGTGCTATCACTACTTGTCTTGCACTGAACTTTCTTAACTGCAGGTAAACTGCTAACTGTTGGAGAAACCTTTCACTGAACTTCCAAAGTTGGAGAAATACTTTCTGGATTGGAGAGGGGGGAGGCTGCCAAATGGGCAAAGCTTAACAATTTGAGGGGGGAAAAGGCTAACGATTGCTCATGTTTGGAGTAGCAGGTCTGCTGCATGTTGTCAGTAAATATGTGCTAGTAGGGAAACAGTTGGAGAAACCTTCAGGCTGCACTAAATTCAGATCTGCGGTTGCAAGCCGGAGGAAGGAGAGGAGGTGAGATAGCAGGGGGCAGGGCGCATGGCGCATGCAGTAGTTGCAGCCGATCGGGGAAAAAAGGTTAGAGATGAAACGCCGAGTTTCACCCGGTTTCCTAGACAGTTTGAAACGCTGTCGCCTCATTTCTACCTGACGAAACTCTAATAATCTCTCCTTATGTAAGTCATGGTGGTCCTCGGTGACGGGAGCTCGGCCAAGTTCTGGTGCGATTCCTGGCTGCCCGCTGGGCCTATCAGGCGGTTCGCACCGGCGCTGTTCGCGGCGGTGCCCAGGAGGAGGAGGGCGCATGGACGCTCGGTCAAGGAGGCCTTGGCTAACAGACGGTGGGTGCGGGACATCGCCGGCGTGCTCAGGGCGGCTGTTCTCTGCGAGTCTGCGACGCTTTGGGTCCGTCCATGCTTATGTAAGTCATGGTTATCACCTCGGCCAAGTTCTGGTGCGATTCTTTTTCGCGCTAATGGACCTTGGCTAACAGACGGTGGGTGCGGGACATCGCCGACGTGCTCAGGGCGGCTGTTCTCTGCGAGTCTGCGACGCTTTGGCTTATCACCCGTACTTTTTTAAGCTAATGGACAGTGTTTTTCTCTTATAATAAATCAGTCAACGGTACTTTTAGCCATGACTTATCAGCCAAGCGAATAGAGCATGTAAATGTGGTTTGTGGAATTGTGGTACTTGTATCTAATCTTGTGCAACCAAGATCTACTCCTATGGCCCCGTTCGTTGGTCTGAACTTTGGCTGAAACTGACTGAAAAACACTGTTCCAGCTGAATTGTTGTGAGAGAAAAACACTGTTCCGACTAAAAAATAAGCCGAACAAGTCAAATTTAAGACAAGCGAACGGGGCCTATGTGCACGTGTGAGTTGTGTATGTGATTTATGTACTTATCTATATTGTCAACTGTCAGTCGGTTGCTAGTGCAATTTGCATAGCTCGTAGCTCCGTGTACAATATTGAAGTATATGCAATGGCTATATCGAGCGTGTAATCCCAACGTAGAAGTTTCCGCTTTTCGTCCATTTCCGTTGAAATTTCGTCCCTGTTTATTTGTTTCCGCTCCCGTTTCCTTACACGCCTATTCTGAACTCGGGCCTGTATCCGGTGATCAAGCGTAGAAACTATATGCTGGGAAGAGGATTTTTACCGCCTATTTCCACCCATCTGTTTGCATCCTCACAACCACACAGCCTGTTCGTTTGCTCGTAAACGATCGTAAATTTTCAACCGGAAACAGTGTTTTTCTCTTATACCAAACTAGCCAACAGTAAATAATCGACGATACGATACGGCCTCCCGAACATGCTAACAAGCCACAGGTACACCTAGCCTGCTGCGCGTGTTGCTACGGCCCTGGCGAATCGGATTCATCGTGCCGATTCTGGCCTCTTCTTGTGGGGTCTGACAAGCCGGCTCGTGTTGCCGTGTCATGTTACCGGCCGAGTCTGAGAGGCTCTAGAATTCGATAAGCACATGAAGCCGAACACGGATTCTCGGAAGCGGGTACTATACAACTATACAAAGCAATGATGCGCGCGAGCTTCCACGAGCGGAAAAGCCTGAGGAATCCTGGCATGCCGCATGTCGTCGACCAGGCGCCGCCGCGTCATCAGAACGACGGGAGGGCAACGACTGAGACCCGGCCGCCCGAGTGAGCACTCGCCTGCGGCCTGCGTGCGCGTGAGTCTGCCGTGCTGACCCATGCGTCAGATGCACGCATAGTCTCCCAGCGACCCGTTTAAGATTCGAAACATCGGTCGTTTATAAATTTGAGACTAGACTCATATATATATATATATATATATATATATATATATATATATATATATATATACGAACTCAGGACGAGTGTTAATAACGAGTTAATTTTTCCGGTGTTATTTTTGCATTTTTTTTCCTTCTCCCCTACTCGTTCTCGACTTCCCTTCTCCTTCGACGCGACGAGGAGAGAGCGAGAGGTGCCATTGCGATGGCCGGCCCCCGTGACAAGCGCAAGGCCGGTCTCGGACACGCGATGCTCCCGACAAGCCCATGCGGCGGCGGAGGGCGGGATGCGTGCACACGAAGGAAATCATGGCGTTTGATGTCGCCCACACCCTCCGCAGCGGCCGCAGGGTCTTGGTCCTGAACACGAACAAATCTGGCCCTCTGCGGTTCAGGAAAGGGTAAACAGCTAACTCAGATTTTATACCTCTTGTTCTGCAATTTTACTTTGTGTTATGCAATTTTGGGTCGCAAGCCCCCTCCTCTCCTTGCGATGTGTTTCAGTGTTGAGATGGGCTTTGTATTTCTCCATCGACCATCGTCTGAACTTTGGTTATCTGAGCCATATTACATCTTCAAGACAGAATGGGCATTAAACTGATTAAGATTTCCACGAAATTGATATCCTGTGTCTTCATGCAAAATCGGTGTGCCATAAACCCTAAACCCTAAACACCGATTTCGGTGGATACCCATGGATTGCTACCTCACACATCCTTAGATATGATCTTTACTTAACATAAATCCATACATCTGGACTGTTTCTTTATATTTTTAACACTGTTGTACACTAGAAAGTATAATGAGGCTGCACAATTGATATAACGAGGTTATCCGTTGTTGTATGCAGGTTGAAACCTGTGTATGATGTATCATGGAAGATCCCTGCATGCGTGAAAGTTGCTCTGGAACACTACAACCGATTGAATGAGGTCTGCTCTTTTTTAAAAAACTTTCCATGTTCATCAGTTCCTCTCTGCATCGTCTGAATCCGCACTGCGTTAACAGGACGTGCATGAACTGGTAAAAGCAGTTGACGGCTATGTCTTTTAATTTATACAATGTTTGGGGGTTTGTTTCCTTGTTATGTACTGTATGTTGATGATGTGCCGGAATGTTGAGCCTTTTTGGTGGCTAATTATCAGTGCTGTTTTGCATCATTTTCAGCTTGTTTTTCATTAACTCTCGTGTAGTTCAGGTTCCTTTGAAATGATTGTTGCGTTGGACTTAGATTGCGTGACTATCTCAATACCAGATTCATTGTGTTACAAAACTATAATTGTAATTCTTGGTTGGCGCAAATTAATAACTTGTGGCAATTGATGGCGTTCTCCTGTTGCAGATGATCCCAAAACAGCACCTTTTCGTGGTGGATGTGGAATTTGCCCAAGTCGAATCTTCCATCCTGCTGCTGGAGGACACTTAGGAGCCAAACCCGGTGCTAAAGGCATGGTTAGTAGGGTTGGACTGGATCAGCGGTCAGACCAATAAAAGACCGAACCAAAGATTATAACGACTCGGTTCACTTAAAAGACTGTCATATATGCAATCAAACCTGTAAAAACTGGTCGAACCGTTTTTTACGGAACCAGCGAACCGGCGGTTAGATATGAACCGTCCGCCTCTGGGTTGAGTCGCGTGTGCTCCTACCGTGTGTTGTCTTCTGGTGTCCGCCTGTTTACCTGCCATTGGACCCGCTTGACTGCTGGCGCCACTAGCAGAGAAACGACTTTCGGTTCGCACCTTTAGTCTCAGTTGTGTTGGAATCTGGGACTAATGTGAGCATTAGTCCCGGGTCTAAATTTTACAGGCACCGAAGGCCCTTTTATCCTGGCTGGTAACACCAACTGGGACTAAGAGCCACCCTTTAGTCGCGGTTGGTGTTACCAACCCGGACTAAAGGTCTTCTAACCTTTGGTAGCGTTGACGTCGTAACATCAGATGACGTCAGTGATATCTTTTTAATTTCAAAATTTCATATTTTTTACGAGCTCTAAGTTAAGCAAATAACGTATCCATTTCGACTATCTCGACGAGCTTTTCTCAATGGTACACTAATTTTAGCGTTTGAGATTGTTTTACAATAATGAATATTTGAATTACTATTTAGATTTTTTTTTACCAATTTGTAAGCACTCCATATATTCTTTTCATACGTATTTTTGTCATATCCAGCAAAACAACTCTAAAGTACCAGCTTATTAAATTAAGATCTATCTTGCTATGATGCATTATAAAATATTGTCATTTTATTATCTTTTGGCGGTTGGATTATTTAAGTTGAACTTAAAGACTACCAACGCTTTTGGAGTACGTGTTGTGGACTTGTGGCTAGATTAGCTGAAATTTAGTTATGTAATTGTGTTCTTTATGAGCTTATTTGTATATGTGACCAACTATATGTTGCCAATTATTTGTTGTATATCATTATATTGCACCGGTTTGAATTATTTATGGGCGGTCCAATTAATCCAGTCTAAAACTATCGAACCAGTGGTTCAATCGTTTCTTAGTAGTTGGACCAGTGAATCAGCGACCTGATGGTCTTACCAGTTTGATGTCTGGTTTGATCCTAATAACTATGGCTGGAGGAGACCTAGGAGCCTCTAGAAATGCTTCTTCGCTTTTCAATATTGATGCAATGGCCTCTGCATGATCATTGTGCAAAAGACCAAATGTCAATGTTCTTATGTGTGTTCATGTTCCAAACCTAGTCAATACTGAGATGTTGCTTGTTTAATCTTGTTCATGTTATGACTATCTAATTATCATTATGAAATTCAGTTTCTTTCACACGGGAGGTGGCATGCTCAAGCGTGGCACCCCTTTTGAGAATACCGAGAGCTTTTAGTAACGTGAACAAAATATGCATGCTTGACCCGTTCATATTCCATGAAAAGGATCACTTTGCAATCAAACGGAAAGAAAGCAGTCATCCATCCACACACTTGCAAAATATGCAAAATTTGAATTGGTTTATGCTAATTGTCTGTGGCAAAATTAGAGTAGTTTATGAGGGCTCGGGGAGAAAGGCGAATGAGCGATCGGTGGGGATGGGCAACTGCGGTGGCGGAGACCGCCAGAGCCCGAGATGGTGGCAGCGCTAGTAGTAAAAACACTGAGGCTTGAACATGGTATTATATTGCTCTAACATCATGACCATTCACAAACATAACATTGTTGAGATGTCATATGACTGGTAATGAGGTTAAACATTTAGTTACTGGGGCACTAACGAAGTTGAGAATTGTTGGTAGCCCTAATCCTCCACAAAGCGGACTAAGGTGCTGTTTGGTTTTGAAATCATAACGCAAACGTCACTGTAATTACAAAGCACCGCTAACGATAAGAAAGTAACAAATCACGAGTTTTGTTTGGTTTCAACACTGTAACGCAAATGGATACCAGAAGCTGCCATGGGAGGCAAGCTGTCCAGCGGGAGAGAGCTCCTAGCACACCATTGAACAACCAAGCCCAAGCCCTGCCGCAAGCTGCTACATGGAGCCTATGGTAGCGGTGGCAGCTGGTGATGGCTCAGCGCGTTTGGCTGGTAGATAGGAGCACTGTAGCTCAGCTGATTTTGGATGATTGAATAGTATTCTGTGAGAGAGAATAAGCTGAAACAAGCTGAAACAATCCAAGACCGTACCAGCCGAACGCGCTTTTGGTCAATGGCGGTGTCCACGACAAGTAGTATGCCACTGTAGTAGCTTGTGTCCCCACGGCCGGCGCCGCCGGTGCTACACACTGTGCACCTCATGTAGCGGCAGCCCAGAGTTAAGACGCGGCCTGCTGCCGCCGCCACCGGCGCTAGACGTCATGCACCTCATGTAGCGGCAGCCCAAAGTTAAGATGCGTCCTGCCGCCGCCGCCCATGAGCCCAAGGCTACATTGCATATGACATTCTACTCTGGCCGTCACAGATCAGTCACCACCAAGCCACCTGCTCTGTTGTCCTTGGGCATACGGCAGTAGAGCTTTGCCGCCGTTGTCCATGTGGGTCCGTGGGCTTCCTGAGCGCTCGGGGGCGGCGACGAGACGGAGTTGCGGGTTCGCGGCGGCACAGCGTTATTGTCGGTAACACGAGTAGTCGAGTTGAAAACGCAACGAAAACAATGGGCCAGCTATCCATTCGATTATGGAAGGATGACAACGGTATTGGTTCTGTATGAGAATGTATCCGATTACACGGGACCCAATTACGGTGGAGGCAAAAACAAACATTTTTTAATGCAATCGCTTAACGCTGTAAATGAATAACATTACATAGCAACGAACCAAACGTAATCTAAATGAGATTAAACATTAAGTACTAAGGCCTAAACTAATTTGAGAATTATTGATAGCTCTAATCCTCGTATCAGTATCTCAAAAATCTCCAATGTTATTGGCTCATGTAGCCCTACTCCTTAGATCACCCTACGGCTACTGGTGTAACAGACTCTCCTAATCGACCATAGGGGCAATAACTAAAATTTCCATCACACAGCAGCTCAGCTCAGTTCTCGGGTTATTCTAGTACTCAAACAAACCATTTCTACGTATCTAGTGATTCAAAGCCAAATAGAAGTACTACATATGTTTTTGGAAGGTTTAGATTGAGTATAGGTTTAGATATGGGGTCATGGTCATCAAAGCCTGAAAAACCAGAACCAGAGCCTGAAAAACCATAACCAGAGCTTGAAGAACTAGACTCGCTAAACTAATTCAGCTCCTCCTCCTCATGCTCTTCTCTTGGTACACGAAATATTCTACCCTTGGTTGTGGTTTCTGCAAATGGTAGATGAACCATCCATGGACTGGTCTATCAGCTTCAATAACATCAAGGATTTTGCGGTAACAATCATAATTTCACATATTCTCCTTCATGAAGTATTTAGTGTTGTTGGAACTTGGGTTCCGAACAGACTAAGAGGGAGAGTAGAGAGTTTTGCGGTAACAATTAGGATTCCACATATTCTCCTTCATGAATGTGTTGTTGGAACTTGTGTTCCAACCAGACTAAGAGAGAGCAGAGAGTTTTGCGATAACAATCAGTTGGAACTTAGGTTCAGAACAGACTAAGAGGGAGAACTTGGTGGTGGATGGGGGATACGAGCATCTCCGAGAGTTTCCTATTTATCTTCCTAATACTTGATTTTTAGGAAAATGAGCAAAAATCTCTCTCCAACAGTTCGTAATTCATACTTCTAATATTTAGGCACTTGGAAAAACTGAGTCAGGCCGTGTAACTCTACGCGGCTCTTAGAGTCGCGTGGATCTTCTCCCGCGCGGTTTCTGCCTTCGTGCCTTGGAGTCGCGCGCTTTTCTCCGATCCTTCCCGCCGCATCGCTTCCCTCCCGCACCGCCGACGCTTCCATTCAGCGCTGCCGCCGCTCCTATCCCGCGCCGCCGCTTCTCACGTCGCGGGTTGCCGCTTCCTCTCGCCCAAGGTAGGAACGGCAGAGGCGCTCCCTCGTCCAAGGCGAGAGGCGCAACTCTAGGACGAGGATCTCTAGGCGAGGAACAACGGAGGTGGTCGCCGGCGGCGAATGCGGCGGACGGCGCCCTGGGTTGGAGGAGGCTCTGCGTGGGCGGGGCGGGCGTCTCGGCCGGGTGACAGCCAGCCGAGAAGGCGCCGCCGGCGGCAGCCGGGCCTACGAGCTCGGATCGGGAGACCAGCTCAAATCGGGAAAAAAAATCGATCGGGACACCAGCTCAGATCGGGAAAAAAATCCATGGTAAGTTCTACATGAACTCAAGTTCGACACAAACTCCTTCACTTTTTTCTCGGTTGAAAAATATGTCATTGGGATATCTTGTTTTCACAGGCTTCCAATCCTGATCTCGCCGAGCTGAACAATTTCATAAGTTCCTCATCTCGATGAATTTGTGTTGTTGGTATTGTTCTCTTTGCTTAGAAACAATTATTGGTCACATTTATGTCCTAATTGATTTGTTTCTCAAAGGCGAAAACTGTTAATGCAGTTTGCAGGCTAACAATGCAGCTCGAATTAATTATCTATTTTCTGATCCATATACATGTGCGTACCACATGAACTTTTCCCTTTAGAGGGAAATATTGCTACCTGCTGTTGCCGCTGATGCGTACCTGCTGCTGCCGCCTGATGCCTGCAGATACCTTGTGCTTTTGACATGAATGTTGATTACCTGCATTTTGCATATGTGTTCGCATATACATAAGTGGGACCAACATTTGATTTTTTAGATGTCAAATATTAGGAACTATTGGAGATGACCTTCTTTTTTTCTCCTAAAACCTTTTTAGGAGTTGGAAAACATGGACTTTTTAGGAGAAATATTTAGGGAACTTTTGGAGATGCTCTTAGGGTTTTGAGACAAGCAAATGAATAGGGGTGAGAGTCCATGCCCTTATGCCCTTTGGGCACTATATATAGGCAATGAATACCTACAAGTGGCTTCTTG